ATATATAAAATCAGGGCCTGATGCATGCTAGATGAGTATTCTACCACTAACCTACATTACTAGAACTGTTAATTTTATTTTGAGACAGGATCTCAATAAATTGCCTGGGATAGCCTTGACTTTACAGTCATCCTGCCTCAGCATCCTAGATAGCTGGGATTATAGGGATGCATCACCATGCTGGCCTTAGTCCTGATTAATATAGGAAAGTTCCCGATTCTCATTGAGCCCTGAAAAAACTGAGAGACTGGTTTTTGGGTGTTTTTTTTTTTTTTTCTGTTTCTTTGGGGTTAGTCAAGGTCACAGGCTCCCAGCAGTTAAAGGGCATGGGAGAGGCAGAGACAGGGAGAGTGAACTTAAAGATTAGCATGTCCTCTCTTTTCTGGGAGCGTCACAGCTGGTGGGTCAGGGTCCCCCAGGAGAACTAGGTCACACATCCACAAGCTGTCAACTACAGAATAACATTCTTCCAGGGACAAGTATAGTATTGCTAGGGGCTCTCTTCTAGGTTGCAAACAGTACTTCCCTACTAGGAAAAAACACTACACCAATCCCAGACAAAACTAATTTTGTCTTATCAAAATTTTGATTTGAAAAAAAGTGAAAGGTGAAAAATCACCTATCTTGCAAGTGCTAACGGCTTGTGTGTTCATTTCGTTTCATTAATGCTTCTTTGGCGAGGAATGACTTCCTCATGCCATTCAGAGCCCTGTATCTGATGAGGCCGGCGGGTGTCCATGATTGAGCCTGTACCATGCATGCTTCTCCAGGGCCTTCTCAGATCTCCAAATAGTAGCTTATAAATGGGCTAGGGCTGTGGAGGTTCCCAATTTTCATCATTCTAGAGAGAAAGACAAAAAAGAGATAAAACTGAGAGAAGAAGCAGTCCAACAAAAACATGAGAAAATTTAGATGCATAAACATAAACGTTAAATAACTGCTTCACTTTTTTCTATTCTGCCTTTGTCCTTGTTTATTATTTTCAAGTATTTTTTTCTTCCTTTTCTTTTTCAGTGCAAGTGTTTGAACCCAGGATCCTGTGCACGCTAGGCAAATGTCCTACCATGAAGCCACACCCTCAGCCTTTTTTTTTTCTTTTAAAAATCATTTCTTGCCCAGGCCCAGCATGTGAGTGAGACCATCTGCCCTACTCTCAGGACCCCTCCAGACACAACCCAGGCCCAGCATGTGTGTGGGAAGGCCTGTGCTCTGCTGTGCCCACTGGACCCCTTTGGACACAGCCCAGGCCTGGCATACAGGCCTGCTTTGAAATTCTGCAGCTGAAGTCCCTACAGAGAGGCTAGGGGCCAGGACCACCCAGCTAATCCAGGAGCAGAACATCTTGCCAGAGGGGCACAATGGGTTCAGTTCCACAGGCTGCAGCAGGAGAAAGCTGAGTATAGCAACCAGACCCAAGCCAGGCACATCAGGATGAATTCAAACTTCATAGATCCGTACCCAGTAAGCTGAGGCACTCTGCTAGACCCAGATCTATAAGAGCATCCTCCCTCTTTCTCTCTTGACTGAGAGAGGGGGCAAAAGGTAACCAGGGTGAACTAGTCTGACTGGAAGACACCAGGTACATCAAGGGGAGGTGATCAGACAGAACTTAGGCGAACTAACTTAAATACAAATTTCCAATTTAATATCTGCTTAGCTATACAGACATAATGCTTGCTCTTACTGTCTAAAAAATAATTTCTTATGTGGACTCTCTTTCATTCCCTACCTCTTTCCTGGCCCCTTCTCTTTTTTCTTACCAGTATCCTTTCTTCGCATCTCAGAGCCCTGTTCTTCCCCCTATAGTCGCCTGTCACAGGCTTCCCCCTTTCTGAATTTCACAGAAGTCACAGCGAGCAACTCCAGCTATGGTTACCTGGTACAAATTCCATGAACCAAGCTATTCTCCCAGGTCCTCCCAAAGGAAGTGAAATATTACCATTGAAAAGTGCCTTATCTCTTTAGAAACAACTGTGTTGCCTTGAGATCTGGAGGGAGAAGAGAGAAAGCCACTGCTTGGCTGGCAAGGGTGCTACAGAACTGCCCTGAGCTGTCCTTTCTGGACCTAGGTCCACAGCGGGGACATAGGCCTTCACCAGCTTCACCTGGAGCCATGCCTGCCACAGTTGATAACTGCAAAGACCCTCAGGGCATCTGAAGATGCTCTTTTTACAGATGAGCAAGTAGAAGGCCCAAGAAATTAAGTGATAGGTTGAAGACACATAGATGGTCAGGGTTCAGGACCAAGAGGTGACTACTTACACAGCTAGGAAACTTTTTTATTGAGCTTTGTTTTTCATCAAGAAACAGAAAGTCTGTAGGGCAGTGAAGTGTTGATGAAGATGCAATAGCAGGGGTCCCTACTCTGCCCTGGGGCATTCCCTAGGCACAGTCCAACAGAGAGCCCAGACTCACCAGCAGTAGGGCCAGGAGTGTTTTACTGGTTTATGTAGGGATTTGAGGACCGATAGCCTCGAGAAGCTTCCGTCTTGACCTCAGGGAAGAGGCTGCCTCCAGCTCCCAGATTGCTGAAGCCAGTCTGCTGCAGCCGCAGATTCTGGAAGTCATTCTCAATCAAGTGCTGCTCTTCAGTGTTCTTCTTCCTATTTGTTGATCTGTCATCAATAACAAGAGTTAGGATCTGACAATGGCAGAAAGTTTCTTGGAGTAAATGTTAATGCTTTTAAATGTTATTTTAAAATTTTAATAATTTTAAATTTATACCATGAGCTATGTGAGGCGGTAAAAACTGTGAATGTTTAAATTTTAAAAAATTACAGTATAAGACACATTGTTGTTGATCCTCCTCACAATATTTCTCCTGCCTCTCCCCCAAAAAGACCCCAAAATATTCCCTCTCTCTTTTTTTTTTTTTTGCAGAACTGGGGATTGAACTCAGGTCCTTGTCCTTGAGCTTTCCAGGGAGGCGCTTATTCCACTGAGCCATCTCCCCGGCCCCCACCTTCACTTTGAATCCACTTATCCCATTGTTTTTGCCACTTTCCAGAGCAGTTCTGGGAGCCATTTTTCCTAAGTGTCGGAAATGGTGCTGTCCCAGTTACCTTGATGTTCTGAATTCAAAACATTTATATTTCATGGCCACTTTGATTTTGAGAAGTCAGAAGTCACACAGTGTAGATCTAGTGAATGAGGTGGAGGAGGACAGACTAAAGCCTCTACAAACTTGCTTTTCTGTTGGATAACGCAGGAGCGCTCACTGGAGTTTTGATCACACCTCCCAAAGACCCTCATGAAAGAGGACTTGTAGAACTGTTCCCGAAAGTGACAAGGACATTGGGCTAGGCGTGTTTGAAGGACGGGGTAATCTGGAGGGAACCAATGGCCATACATCTTTCTTTTTTTAAAGGGAATAAAAAATAGTTAAAAAAAAGAAAAGAAAGAAACAAAAAATTTCACTAAACAAAATGATAGGAATTCAACAGTGGCTGTTGTATTGTATATTGTTGGCTTCAAATTTGTTGTTTAGATTACCAGATATAAGCATGTAGACACTGTGTCTTTTATTCTAATAACTTTTAATATTTAAATATTATAAATATTATATAATATATAATATATGATATTATATATTATATATATAATATTCATCACCCAGATTTCCCAGTTGTTGACACTTTGAGCCAATGAAGACACTAAGTTTTGGACTTGATACCCATTACCCATAACTTCATTATTTTGCTCAAGGAGATCCCTGAAATTTAAGGACAATCACCTGATACACCCTAGGATGTACATCAGTTGACCCAACATTAACATCTAATTCCAACAGCATCACTCAAGCGTTTCTAATAATGTTACTACTCTTCAATCTACTTTTCATTTATTCATAGAGATAATCACTGAAGTCAAAGAGAAACCATGACTTGTGGGATACAGTTTTCCACTGAAGCAGAGCCAACATCTGTAGAAACACTTCTGAGAGTAAAATGAGTTCTGGATTCCAAGGTCTGGAAGGGAGAAGCCTGAGGGCCCCAAAAGTCTCAAGGGGACATGCTGAAAGCCCATAGTACTTCAGTGGGGCGGCATCTCTTCCCAGGTCACTCTGATTGTGGGCCTCCCTCCCTCCTTCCATTCCTGATCCAGAGGGCTTGGTCCTGCTCCTGCAGGCACCTGGAGTGCAGTCACTACATGCATGACACCACCGGTGCCCTTGCAGGGCGATAGTTACCTGCACCTCAGTCACTCACCCCATGAGTCTGGTGGCCAACCAACCCTATCCATAGTCCCAGCCTTTGATACTGTCATGTCCAAAGTGGCTGAGCACAGACTTTCCCTCCCTACAATGTGGGCAAGAAAATGGAAACTTCTGCTATAATCCAAGAACCCTGGTGTGTAGCTGTGCTTGGAGCAGCTCTGGCTCTGTAGTGAGAAGAGGAGCTGAGATGCAGGGATGTCCCAGAGCGGCCTCCTGGTGTTCACAGAGCCAGCTCCATGCCTAGATCCCTTCTGAGTCTCTGGAGGAGCCAACATCAGAATGAAATAAAAGAGTTCTGCAATCCCAGTACTTGAGAGCCTAAGGCAAGAGGAGCACTGTAAGTTTGAGGCCAGCCTGAGCTACATAGTGAGAACTTGTCTCAAAAACAAAACAAAACAAAACAAAACAAAACAAAACAAAACAAAAAAACAGAACAACAACAACAAAAAGAATGAGAGCGGGAGAACACACAAAATATTTTAGGGACCTCAAATTTCTTTATCCTCCAATTCTAATGGAAAAATACCTATTTTGCCAAAATGTAAGGTCTGAACTAAATGTTAGAAAAAATATGCAGCTTGTTTTTAGCAAATTGGTTCCACTGGTGGATGCGGCTAGAGATGAAGTTAACAGCACTCCTTGTTAACAGCAGGAAATCCAGCAGGGCTAAATATTTGTTGAATAAAAGAATGGTCACTGCTCCCTCTCCCTTAAGAGAAGAAAACTTAAGACCCCACACTGAGAAACAGCCATGCTGATCTGATGAAACCTTTCTATTTTTTGAAAAACCTAAGGGTTCAGGTGAATTTAATTCTAGACCATTTGCAGCAGGACCCTGGGCAGGGAAATGACTTGGTGAAAATTATATTTGATAACATTAATGGAATTAAATATTGTTGACAAAGAGTTCTTCATGGCATAGGAAAATGATTGTTTTGTCCTACTATAGTGTTAAGCAAAAATAAAACCTTGAAAATAAAACTCACAAAGAATACATGGCTGTGTAATATTTGAAAATATGGAAAACAATTTGGAAGGATGCATACTAACATGTTAGTTGCCTTAGGGCAGTGGGTTGAATGGATAATTTTTTACTCTGCCCTTTTGCACTTTTCTCTTTTTTAAAGATTTTTTTTGATGGTCATTTATATAATCAGAAGACAGTTTTAAGTAAGGAAAACAAAGAGTGGCAATGGAGGGAAGACCTCCCCTCGTTTCCCTTCCCCTGCCCAGGAAAGGCGGGGTGTGTCTGGAAGCCGGTGTGCCCCCAGGAAAAGAGCACCTCCATCTCCATACCTCGTTGTGACAATCAATGCAATCACCAGGCTGAGAACAAAGACGCCCAAGATGGTGCCCACAATAGTGAGGATCAACTGAAATTCTGAAAAGGAAAAGAAAAGCGTAAGGACGGCCCCAGCTGCCCACTGCACATGCTGCGTGTTCTGGGGCCTCTAGCTGTGTGGAGGATCAGGTCTCTCAGAGCCAGGTTGGACAGGCAGCTCACATCCCACAGCGGCCTGTGCCTCGCCTGCCAGTGTCTTCAGGACTCTATCAGAGGAGGATGCCCAGCCAGATACGCGACCATAACTGCACAGGAGGCCGAGGGCAGAGGGCTCTTTTGGGTTTTGTAGGAAGCAGATCCAGCTGAGGTCTATACCTGCTTCTTTACCTGTGTTGCCTCTGCCCTAAATGCCCGCCTTTACTGAGGAGTCAAGTTTGCCCCTGAGAGAAGCCAGGAAGCCATTTGGTTTTGTCCTGTAGGAAGAGTCTAGAAGCTCATTGCTCCTCCTCCTTCTTTGACTGGTGCGACCGACTCTTCAAAGGCACTGATGAGATGGCCTGCGAGTGTAACATATGTACCAGATTCCAGACACCAAGCACTAAGAAATGTGAAATAACTCATTGATAGTCTTATACCAATTACATGTCAAGATATATTTTGGATATATTAGATTAAATAGAATAGGTTAATCAAATACAGTTCACCTATTTCTTTCTACTTTGAATTTTTTTCTTGATTTGTTTTTTGTGTGGTTGCTTGTTTTTTGAGACAGAGTCTTGCTATGTAGGCCAGGATGACCTTGAACTCATTATGTGGCCAGGCTGACCTTAAACTTGTGGCAATTCTCCTGCCTCAGCCTCTTAAGTGCTGGGATTACAGCTGGGCACCACCATGCCCAGTCTTTTTGTTTGTTTTTAAATTTTTGCTTGAAACTTTAAAAGTGTACTATGAAATCTGTGGCTCATACTATACTTCTACTGAAATCAGACAATGCCACTCTAGATCTGCTCTTCTTGCCACGTCATTGCCACATGTGCCACCTCCAACTGGGTTTTCAGGGCCACAGAATATGAAGTCTGGGAAGGACCTGAACAGTCAGGTTCTCTGATGCTAGCCTTTATCTCTTGCTTCTTTTTACATTTTTTAGAGGTGCTGAAGATTGAACTGGGGCTCTCACGCAGGGTAAGCCAGAGCTCTGGCACTAAGCTGCTGCCCGGCCCGAAACCTCTCTTTCAGCAGATGTGGAGACTGAAGGCCCAGAGAAAGAAATGATTTAGTGCACCTGTCCTTGCCACAAAAGGTGGCAGAGGCCAAGGGCATCTATCAGCACCATCTCTGCATCTGGTAGGAAGCTTGAGGTCATAGTTCCTGCATCTTGAGTCGCTGAACTTTAGTTTGCTATGTAAATGGTTAAGTAGTTTAACATTAAAGTCAGTATTGTCTCTGTCCTGTGGGAGTGAGGCATGGGAGAGAATGAAGGAGCTGAATCTGCACTATTACCCCATAAAGCAAGCTGGGAGAAGGTGTGAGCATTTAAATTACTTTCTCTTAGCTTTTCTCTCTTACAACCACTGATTTTGAAAGATACCTGTCTTTTATTGTTAGGAGCAGCAAAAAATTTGTCTTTTAGCAAATGTAGAGCACCAGGGTAACAGTTTGGGATGCCCATCTGCCCGACCTCTGCTTGGGGGGGGGTGTCCCATGGTGGAGCTGCTGTTTCCTGTAACCTCTGAGTGAGCGTGGGAGGCGTGGGGCAAACCCCAGGCTGATTTGTCTCTCCATTAAGGAAGTCAGAGACTTGAGCAGGCTGGACAGGAGTTTGAATGTGGTTCGTGTTTACTGCTTTATAACTTATTTATAATAGCAAGACTATTATAGCAAGACTTCGATACTCACGGTCTTCACAGTTCATTCCACTGTAACCGAATGGACACCTGCAACACAGCAAGCAACCAAACCTGTTAGAGAGCTCCTGCAGGCAGCAGGGTGGACCCCTCCCCAGTCTCCGAGGCTCCCCTCCATCTCCTGCTCTGTCCTCCTGCTCCTTCTTTTTCTCTTGTCTTTTGATGCTCCCATAAGTGCAGCAAGCATGTCCCACAGGGCTTGTGGAGGCACAGGGGAGTCCGATCCCACTTAGTTTCACCTGCTATTGGCTGAACATTCTGCCCTCTGAACTCAGCCATTCAGGTGAGCCTGAACCCCAAAGGGATAGGCCCTCCCTAGGGGTGGCCCCCCTGGCTGTGCCACCATCTAACTGCCTCACCTGAACGAGGATGATGGATAAGTTTCTGACAGAGGCTGTGTGACAGATAACACTTGATGTGGTTGGTCCCTGGCATAGAGCCAATGCCCAAAGCATAATGAAGAAGATGCTGCTACTCTCTATCTATGACTTCTGTTGTCTTCCCCACTTCTAGGCTCCAAGCCTGTCTATGTGATTCAAGCTCTGTCCTTCCTGCCTAGCTCCAGTCATGGCAAGATCAAAACGGGGTGGTTTCTCTTACTTTTGGCAGTTGGAACTATCCATCTTGTACCCTGGCAGGCACACACACTCCAGCTTCCCGGTTCTCTGCTTCAAGCACTGCTTGTTGTTCTCTGCTTTGCAGTCCGCAGAACACTGTAAAGCTTTTAGACAGAGTAACTGCTAAGTAACTTTGGAAACAATCGCTTTACACTCACAGGGATAGATTATAAATTTAATGAGGTGCTCACTGCTCATGACCTTCCCTGTGAAGCCACCCATGGGCAGCCTCAGCAGCTCCTAGACAAGACCCCACCCTAGCCAGGCATGGTGGCACATCCCTATAATCCCAGCACTTGGGGAGGCTGAGGCAGGACAATCATTGCGAGTTCAAGACCAGCTACAAAGTGAGCTCAAGCCCAGCCTGAACTGCATAATGAGACCCTGTCTCAAAAACACAAAAAACAGGGGCCAGGGAGATGGCTCAGTGGAATAAGCGCTTCCCTGGCAAGCGCAAGGGCCTGAGTTCAATTCCCATTCCACAAACAAACAAACAAAAAACAACAATAAGAACCCACCCTGGTGTTTATGTCTGAAGCCCAAATGCACATCACTCAGTCTCTGAAATACACACGGACAGTCAAGCAGTGATGTTCATACTTTGCCTATGCAAAAGAGAGGAAAGCAATGGGAAGAGCAAGCAGAAGCAGGTGGAATACTTACCAATACAAAAACGGGACTGTGGGTACGGTCTCTGCAGCCCATCTTTACACTCACAGTTTGAACTACTGCTGCAATTATCCTGAGTATTTTTACAACCATAATATTCACACTGATCTTGCGCTGTGAGAGATAGAGACTGTTCAAAATTATATTCAGCAAGATAATAAGATGAAGTAATCTGTGAAAGCACTCCACTCCATCGCTGTTGATAGATTTCAGCCAGTACAAACCGATAAATTATTATGGCCCTAATTCAATATGACTGAATCCCAAAAACAAGGGGCTTATCTTTCCAATGACTACTTCCTCCTCCTTCCCCACCCCAACATCCTTTCACTGTTCCTGCACCTCAGCCTTCGTTTGTCTCAGGTCAGAGGATCCCCCGATCTCCCTACAATCCTCTCCATGTCCTAAAAATCAATAAAGCACCCCTTTTTACTTCTGCTTCTCTGCTGAGCCAGAAAAAATATCAGTTGCTATACTTTGCCTTTTGATACATTTTTAAAAGATTTAACAAATGAGAATGTGGGGTGATTCTGAAAGTCAGCTCCCCAATCCTGTCTTCAATGACTTATTTTATCAGTTCAAATTAATTGCACCTAATGCAATGCAACTAGGCTCAAGTTGACAATTTCTTTTGCACCTGTGTTTGTGCTAAGTTCTGTAAGGGGAACAGAAGTCGCTTAACTTTGGGACTTCATGATTGCAGAGTTACACCAAGCAACTCTCAATTTGGCTGTAGGGTTTGTGATTCAGACTTGATTTTGTGTTTTTTTGTTTGTTTGTTTTTTTATTTATTTGTGTGTGTGTGTGTGTGTGTGTGTGTGTGTGTGGCCAGCTCAGCCCACCAGGGGGCAGGGCTGGCTGGCATGTGGTGCTGGGGGATTGAACCGTGGTCCCTGTGCTTTGCTTAGCCTGTTCTAGGTAGGTGCTTTAGACCACTGAGCCATCTCACCAGCCCTTTGTGTTTGTTTTTGGTATCAAGAATCAAATTCAGGACCTTGCACTTGCCAGGTAGGCACTTGTGCCACTGAGCCATATCCCCAGCTCAGACTTTCAAAACAATGAGAGTTCAATAGCTCAAGTAGCCAAGATACTATTGAGGAAAAGGTTAGAATTAGGTAAGTTGCCAGGGAGATGGCTCAGTGGAATAAGCGCTTCCTTGGCAAGCACAAGGGCCTGAGTTCAATCCCCAGTTCCAATAAAAAAAAAAAAAAAAAGAATTAGGTAAGTTTTCAAAGATGGAGAAGATTGAAACAGAGGAGAGACAAAGGCTATTTAATTGGAGTAAAGAGTCATAAAAAGCATAGAATTGTTGTCAGGAAACAGTGGAGTTGTGTTTGGGTAGAGGAGAAGTGATGTGCTGAGTTGAGAGAAAACTAGAGTTCCTGGCTTTGCCACTTACTGCCTATGGCTCTCTATTCCATCATTTGATTTTGGGTGAGTCCAAGTTCCCTCTATTTGGAAAACTGGGTGAATAATTTTTTTTCCATGTATGTATTTGGTACAGGCTCTCGCTACACAGCTCTGACTCTTAGTGATCCTCCTGTTTTTGGCCTCCCCAGCACTGGGATTACAGGCATGTGCCACCACACCTGGACTCATTTGCCAGCTTAGCCTGCCCTGGGGGTGGGGCCGGTGCTGCATGGTGGACCAGGGATTGAACCCTGGTCCCTGTGCTTACCAATGCAGGCCCTTAGTCCACTGAGCTATCTTGCCAGTCCTGGGTTAATAATTCTTATTTCACATGATAGTTATGGGAATTGAGTGAGCTCATATAAATAATAGTGCCCATTACAGAATTCTGAACAAATCCTCATATTTATTTCATTGAGAAGTATGGTGAATTTTGAATATCAGGCTAAGGACAGTGAATTTTATTCTATAAGCCTAAGGATCCTTTGGTAGATTTTGCCCAGGAGTATGACATGAGAAAGCAATCTTTTTAAGAATAATAGTCTATACATGGACTAGAAAGCCTTCCAGGTTAAAAAGGGGAATCTGAGAATAGATTAGGGGCCAAGAAAAGAAGCAGGTAGGAGAGTTGTGTGATTATTCTCTACTAAATATTGCAAACCACAACTAATCTTCCTTCTTCACCTGCAACTTGAAAATGTCTCCACTTCAGAGTCTAGAGGAAGATTTTTACAACTTTGAGTACAGGAGTATATTTTAGCCACTGAAGCTGAACAACAGAAAAGATCTTTTTCTCTACAAGTTATGAGGCTCTTGTTTCCATTTTCCCAGCATTTATACTCTTGTGGTGTCTCTAGAGGATGATGTTTGGCATTTTGTTAATGTGTCTAAGAATGTATACCAGGTGCCAGGTGTCACAGTGAAGGGAGATATTGTGAGGAGTTGTCTAAAAAGTAAATGTTAGAGCTGGAGTCATATAGTTTCAGTTGTACCAGGGCTTGTTGCTAATGTGATTTCTCAGGAGAGATCAAATGAAAGAATTTTTCAGGCAGCTTGAATACTATCCAAGGAAGATGTGGACTATAGTCAGCTGGTGACCACCCTGAGTGGTCAGAGCTTATGCTCATGGGTACAGTCAAGTTCAGGAAGAGAGGGGAGGTGGGGACATTGCATAGACAAAAATACACTATAGACTTTGAGAGAGTAAATACTAAAACATTCAGAAAAGAAACAGTATTATTCCCACGAAATGAAAATGAAAACAGTTCAAGAAACTGAGAAAGTCTGAAAATATATTCTAACTGTTCAGCTTCAGAAATGAGTGTAAACACCCAGGGACAATCAAGGTAGCTTAAGCATTGGTGCAGTTTGCACAGGAAGGCCTCAGATGATTGAGATAAGCAAAATATGGGAACAAGGTCCCATCATCAAAGATTGAATACTGTATTACAAATGTGTCAGGCAAAGTCAAGCCCCAAATAAGCTCAGGCTTACATCAAACAAAATCTAAAATAGAAGAAGCAATTTTAAAAATCCAGCAAGGAAAAAATAGGACTACAGTGAGAAATGAGCACATTGGAGGCTCAGTGTGTTCATGTATGTGCATGTGTGTGTGCATGTTCATGTGCCTATGCGCGTGTGCGCGTGTGTGGGGGGGTGAGAGAGAGAGAGAAAGAGAGAGAAAGAGAGAAACTGGGCTATGAGAGGTTTGTGCAAGGGGGAGGACAGACTGGGGTAATCTTGATGCATGGCATAAAAAGACACAGAATAGCTCCACAACTATTTTTCTCCAGTCTTTTTTGTCAGGGGATTATGTGGAAATAGGTTGAGTATAAGGTGCCAAAAGGCAGTTAATGCCAAAGGAGATTTGGTGCAGAAGAGCTCTTATATTTGCTGATAAAGTTTTCAGTGTTTTTCAGTAAGAGTGTTTATGTTCTGGGTTCTAAGATGTTGATAAGTATCTTTGTAAAATATTAAAACATGAGGGCTGGAGATATAGCTCAGTGGCATAAGCGCCTGCCTGTCAAGAGCAAGGTCTCCAGTTCAATCCCCAGTACTGAAAAAAAAAAAAAGATTAAAGCATGAGAAAATTACCTAAAAAGCATAAATGAACAAGATGTGTTTGTTTTAAAAAAGAAAGCAGCTTTACAAATCAGGTCAGGAGTCTACAGTATCTAAACAGCACCATGTTAAGAGACACTGAACTGAATCTCAGAAGGAACAAACAGAAGGATGGGAGAGGCAGGCCAGCGGGAAGGAGAATGGTAGGGGCATCGCAGGCAGACAGACACTTTGACAAGGGACATGTGCCAGTGTCCCATGCTGCTGAGAGGTTGAATGCCCTGTGGCTTTGCACTGGACAGTGAGAACTGAGTACCTGCTGCCTAACCCTTCCTTGGGAGCAGGCCCTAAGGGGTCCCTTCCAAGGTGGGGAGCTGCTTCTGACCACTGGGGTGGGTCAGCTGCAGCACCGGTATCAATTTGTTCAGACATTTCTGGATCCATGTTCTCTTCTATGGCCCTTCTTCTGCTATCTTGGGCTTGCTTCTGTGACCTGCTTTGACCACTAGGATGATTATAAATGTTATACAGCAAAGCTAGAGAAACACTTGTGAATTGAACTTTACTCCCTTGCTGCTCATGAAGGCTTTTAGACCAGCCTGCTAGAGCACAGCCAGACCATCCACTGAGCCATCCCAGACCAGCCAGCCCCCTGTTGCTCTAGCCACGAACAGCCATGCTCAAGTGAGTCTAGAGGAGGTCACCTAAGCCTGGCTTAGACCGAAGAACTCTCCCTCTGAGCCCATCTCAAGTTTGGACCCATAGAATTATGGAATTGCATAAATAAATGGTGTTTTAAGCCACTTAGTTTTCTGATGGTTCATAGCACAGCAGACCCAGCTGCACAGTTATAGCTGTTACAGCTGCACAAGGGGCTTGTACGTCAGGTTGAAAGAAGGAACAGGATAGGTGGGCCTTCCATTTTTGTTGAAAAGCTATAATTTGATATGAAGCTCTCTGGTTCTCATTTTTGCATTCTCTCTCGGCCAGAGATCACTTGTTGAGTCACTTGTGCCTTCCAAGGAAGGAACCAGCTAATAACTTTGAAGACGGGATGTGGCTTGAAAGCATTAGCAGCCAATGAGAGGAAAGGGAGGGAGGGGGAACTAGCTAAAAGGAAATCTAGAGACATCTATTGATTCAACTGTGTAGCCCGCATATAACAGAAAGCTTTACGAATAGGTGGATAAATTTTTAGGTAAACTTGGAGTAAAATTATCCAATACTTACATGAATATACTAAAATGTTCCTTGGGTTTTTTTCTAGTTCAGTCTTAATTTTAGTAGATACACTTGACTCAGTTTCAGTTGTTTTCTCTTCAAAAATGTTCACCACTTTTACAGCCACTTGTACAGTTCTTGTTTCTGGAGAAGGTGTGCTAAAAATAGAATAAATCTATCATTAGTAGAATTCAATGGAAGGGCCAAGAAATAGAGTTTCAAGCCTCCAAGATTCCCAAATCTGCCAGCCTTCATTCGTGCCACTGTTCTGTCTCCATATACAGAGACCCAGAGCTAGGAGACCACATCAGAGATGTGTGTCTGATGTGTGTTCAGAGGAAAGCTACAGTAAAACAGTGTCCCGTTAGAAGATACTGAGGAAAATTGTGGACAATCATTTTCAGCATCTAGGAATCTAGAGTGAACCCAGCCTAGACGAATAATATCTAAATAGTAAGTTGTCACTTTCTGTACGACAGCAAGGATGGGTCTCTTAGCTATTACATCAGACTTCTACTTTGAGAGAGACAGAGGGGGGTGTATTGTTCCTTGTGCCTGGAGAGAGCAGCAAACAAGACAGAGCCTGGGTCACCCCCAGGAAGGGCCAGGGATTCAGCAGGTGGCCTCATAGTAGGCGTGATTGGGGCTGAATGCACATGGCCCCAGGAGAGCGAAACAAAGAGGAATAGGTAGAGGGAAACATGGTCAGATGATGCCAAATGTACTACAAATAGAGCACGCTGTAACAAGGCACTGAACAGCCTCCTCTCTAATCAGCACTGCAATTTGAAGCCCTAAGAAAAGCTGACATTCTAATTAGCTAAAGGGAGTCAAATGATACAACCTCTGAGAAGAGGAGGAAAAGGAGGAAGAAGAGGAGGAGGAAGAGGAGGAAGAGGAGGAGAAGGAAGAAGAAGAAGAAGAAGAAGAAGAAGAAGAAGAAGAAGAAGAAGAAGAAGAAGAAGAAGAAGAAGAAGAAGATTATAAATTTCTTCCTTATTTGACTTGTGGCTCTGCACATTTTGTTCTGAGACAGGGTCTCTCTATGTAGAGCAGGCTGGCCTTGAGCTCACTGTGTAGCTTAGTCTGACCTCAATCTTATGGAAGTCTTCCTGCCTCAGCCTCCTGAGTGCTGGGATGATAGGTGTGTACCACCATGCCCAGCTGTGGCTCTGTGTTGTTAGGCCTCAAGATATATATTTTTTATTTCCAAATTTTTCTATGCTCCATTTTAACTTTTAAAATAGAGAAATTTAAAAATGCATCTTTGGAAGTGTTTATAGCCATTCTTGGTCCCCAGAACAACTCTCCCCCCATCAGCAGAAAAAAACAAAACAAAAACAAAACATGAACCAAGGTCTGTTTTGAGGGATAATCATCTCAAAAAGGCATCTAAAAAAATTACCAAGAAGTTTACTTTTTACATTTCGACTGGAACTCATTCACATTAGGATTTGAGTGGTGGCACTAGATTACTTACATCAGTGAGAAGGGATACCTAAGTTTTCTATATTACTTAAAAACGATCAAAATAAAAAAATAAAAAAATAAAAACGATCAGAAATCCATAAAATAATCTTCCACTGGGGCTAGAAAATACCATCAACAGTATATTCATCCAAGAACCTATTAGATTATACTTTAGCTCAGGAGGAAGACACTGAAGCCCACGACAGTTCAAGGTAATGACGGTGCCATGGTCTGTCTGAGGGGAAATGACTAGAGCACCTGAGTTAGCTTTAAGAGAAGAGGGCTAGACCCAAGCTTCTGTAGATCATCTGTTGTGGCCCAAGGGCAGTAATAATTTCTCTGAGCCTGAGTTTTTTCCTCTGTCCTAAGAGAAGTTTTAGGAGGAGAAATTCCAAGGATCCTTCCAGTTCTTGCATTTGTATAGTAGGCGGAAAGCTGGAGCTGGAGTTTAAAAAGTGCCCTCCTAGGCAGGACCATTTGTGCTGCAGTGGCTCCGGGGGGAGGGAGGGCAGTAGTTCTCAATGGTGAGCCAACAGGTCAAAGTTGACCTCTAAACCCTCTGGGCTCCCTTTTAGTAACTCCTTATGAATAAAGGGATGCCACAGCATAGGGGCCTCCTCCGCAGATGACTTTGGGACCAGCTCTTTCTTTCTTTCTTTCTTTCTTTCTTTCTTTCTTTCTTTCTTTCTTTCTTTCTTTCTTTCTTTCTTTCTTCTTTCTTTTTTTTCTTCCTTCCTTCTTTCTTCTCTTTCTTTCTTTTTTAAAAATGTATTTTATACACAGTCTTGCAATGCAGCTCAGACTCATACTGATCCCTCTATTTTCAGCTTTCCTAGCACTGGGATTACACATCAGGTTTCAGTGGCCAGATCAGTGCATGGTGTGTGTGTGTGTGTGTGTGTGTGTGTGTGTGTGTGTGTGTGTGATGACATGTGGTGCTGGGATTGAATCCTGGTCCAGGTGCTTGTCTAAGCAAGCACTTAGTCATCTGAGCTATCTTGCCAGCCCTGGGATCTGTTCTTAATCACACATAGAGTCCCTTACTCTGAAACAAACAGATGGCTTGAAATGGCTGCTTGCAGAGGAACGTAAGTGTAATGGTTCATACACTGTGTCAACTTGAGAAGTCTAGAAGCTTAGCTAAAGTAATTGAGCAGGCCTATATCCCGGGGTGTAGAGACATGCCCTTTTCCTTCTAGAATGTTGTTCATTGTGTCAATTTGAGAGCTATAGAAGTTTAACTAAGTGACCCAGTAGGGGGCCAGGGTCCTCACTTGTAAACTTCCTCAGTCTGTGCAAGAGGAGGGCACTAAGATGGTGTGGATGTAAAGAATCCCCCTGGAGGAGATTTTACTGTGTGAGGGTAGCCTGCAGACAATAAAAGGGAAATGAGGAAGGACTGATTGCTGTTTCTTCAGAGGAGCTCCTATCTTCACTGCCAGCTTGGTCATCTGGCTTCTGGTGAGGACTTTTTCGCTTCTGCCTGGGATTCTTCAGCCTTCTGGTGGAGACTCTTCAGCCTTCCATTACAAACCCTTGACCTCCTGATATGGACTTGCATGGGGCACTGCAGTGAGCTCCAGACCTTGGACTGAATCCTTCGAATTTCAGTGTGCAGACACCCTCTGCACTCTTCCTCATCCAACTCTGTGGTTACCATCACAAGCCGATCTCGTAACTTCTCATTATGTTTGTATATCTTATGTTGTGTCTGTTTCTTTAGTAAACACTGACTGACACAGCATGCATGCAGGGACCCTTCCAGCATGATCTCATTTACTCCCAAGGTTGCAGGGAGCTTGATCAGATTGTCCTCTACAGACGGGGTAATGAAGGTTCAGAGGGGTTAGCATTCCTCGTCTGTTACTCTGCAAGGAAGCGCTGAAGTCATATTAAAGTGTGGCTTTTGTTGACTCTGCCACCCCTCACAGTCTCTGTTCTGATCCTGTCACCACATGTGATCCTGTACCAGCTATTGTCCGCTAAACTTTGTAAACTATTCACAGCTCTCTGCTGCTGTCTGCTGCACCTTCCTCTCCAGGGCTCTGTGTGTGGACCCAGCCTTTCTGTGTGCTGCCAGCCCTTCCCTGGGCCAGCATGGCCTCTCCTGGCTACCAACCAGACTTGTGCCCACACAGAACAAACTCTGAGTCACCATCTTTCAGAAACCTGCTCTGAATGTACACACACACACACACACGCACGCACGCACACACACACACACATTCATCTCTCACTATCCACTGGGGATTTGTTCCAGGATGCCCCACAGATCCAAATCCAGGGATATAGTAATGCCTTCCATAAAATTACATACAATTTGCATACAATCAACACACATCCTGCTGTATTCAGCAAATCCTTTCCAGATTAATTTCATGCCTAATACAACATTAATGTCATGGAAATAGTTGTTACACTGTGCTGTTTACAGCTGCAATGAAAAAAATCCTTTCAACCTGCAGTTGGTTGAATCTGTGAATGTGAAACTCATGCTTACAGAGGGCCAATTGTCTCCACCTACATTTTATCCTATTCTACAAATGGTTGACATAACTTTTAGGGAAAAAATGCAATAGTATAAGAATCCTGTCTCTTTAGGTCCCTATGGAGCACCCAGCTCTTGCCAACACTTGAAGTGCTCAATAAATGCTGTTCTTACAGCAGAAAGAGTTCACACTCTTCCTCCTTCTTTTTATGTGGAACCAGGGATTGAACTTAGACAGTTGTGCTTGCCAGGGAAGCACTTACTCTACTGCACCATCTCCTTGGCCCCTCCTCCTTCACTTCTATAAGGAAAGATATGGCTGCTAGCTGCCCATCCTGTGCCCACCTCCGAAGTGCCCTGTTGGTCTATAGCACACTTACCTTACTGTATAAATTACAGTCTGTTTGTAATCTGTGCCATTAAACGCATTTTCAAACTGTGGATGAGAACAGATTTAATAGCAAGTTGAAAAATATTTAAAGCATTACTTTAGGTCTTAGCACAAGTTTGCAAATTCATTTATATAAATCTACATGGCATGTCAGAACAAATCATTTGCTCTTGATGTGCCTGGTAATGGTAATCATTGCTTTAAAGAATTTAGTCTTTAAAGGTGTTTTAGTCTCTGGGATGCTGGCTGGGAACACCTGGCCTGACACCTGCACTTCTGGAAGAGCAGTAACCGCTCCTTCCACATGGACACCTGTGCTCCTGGCAATCTGAGTGAAAGGAAAATTGGGATTCATTGCAACATTTTTGACAAAGAAAAAAGTAATGGATACAAATTCCAATTTGGTTCCCTTTCTAGATTTTTTAAAAATAGACTGTATGGAAATTTATACAAATTTGAATTTAAAAGGGAAAAAATCTTGAAAAATGTTCTCTCTTCCATGTTGTTTTTTAATTTGTGCAGTGCTGGGAATCAATCAGGGCCTTGCGCATGCTAAGCAGGTACTCCACCGCCCCTGACACCACACACTCCATCCCAAATCATTAATCAATTAAGTAATTTATGAGGCCAGAGGTTGAAGGCAAGGGGTTTCATCTCACATGCTTGGTAAATGGTCTGCCACTAGGCTACCTCTTCAGTGGTGACAGAGACAGAGGCATGACCAGAGCCATGCTCTGCCACCTATTGTGAGAACAGAGAACATGTCTGTAGAAAGGGAGGTGGAAAGATACTTACAAATTTAGTAATAGTTTCCCAAAAGTCTTGGTAGGTGGGAGAGCTTTCATCTTGCAAGTCATATGCATCAGGTACTTGTACTGTAAGCTGGCCAAGGAATGACTTTCCTGAAAGTCAAACAAAATTTTTCTACACTATTTAATGTAAACAGAATCATTTCCATTTTGTTTGAAAACATAAATTATTTTTTTGAAGACTGGAATATTATATGATGACACTACGAAAAGTCTGGAAATATTTTGACAAAGATATTCACGATCTGACCTAATCTGCATGGCCAGTTTTGTTCTGGCACCAGCCCCCTCTCACCACCACTTTGGTCCCACATTTATAACATGCCTTGCTTTAAAAAAAAAAGTATTATTACATACAAAGCAGTTTCCCAAATCATGTCTTTGTCTTCATAACTATTGTCTTTAAAGGCTTTACAATATTTTATGAAATATACGTCCTCTCTGCTGCTATGGTCATCTTTTGTTCTTGGACTTAGCCCTTTTATTTAAAAGGGAAGAAACAGGTTGCATTGAGCACAATCATGTATGAACATTTTTAAAGGGTCATTTACTTAGAGTAGATCCCAGAAGTGGGATGATTTGTGTTAAAAATATGAATTTTGTTTGTCTTTTGGCACATCCACAAGGCCAGCAGGTGGCACAGTGCATTTGCTCTGGGAGGGGGATCATTCCAATTATGAAACAGAAGAGCTGAACTCAGACAGGCAGACAGGCTTTGGGCCTGCACAGCCCCAGGAGCGCTACCCCGCAGCGCTGAGCCAGGACTGTATGGCTGTTCTCTCGAAGTCTATTTCCAGAGCTGAGGGGCTCCTCTGTCTCTGTCATGGAGCAAGCATATCCTGTACCACAGAACTGAGCCAGTGTCAGAGGATGAGGCTCCTGGGCCATGTTGCCTGCATCTACCTCGGTGTCCCTATGCCATAACAACACTTTGGTGACAAGTATCTTGAAGTCCTGTGGCCTTTATTGTTTTTCAGGGGCTCCAGCATCTATTGCTTTCCTTTCGGGTCCACAGCGCCTTCCCTGGAGCAGCAGGCAGAGGAATGAGCCTAGCCAGACCTCACTCTTAAGTCTGACTTGATCCATCCCATCTCCTACTGGCTCTCACACCCTGGAGCCGTCTCCCTACTGGGTGGCCTCCAGATTCTCTTCTGCCTCTTCTATTCTGTAGAATATGTTGTTATATATCATTTTGAGTTTCCTATTTCACTTTAGGTGTGAGATTCAGAGCTCTGCCATGGTTCACCCCTTGTAACTCACCTCTCTGACATGCCCCGGAGTCGTAGAAACTCCCCTCCATGCACAGGCAAATAAAATCATTGTATAGGTTAACGCAGGAAGCACCTGATCCACAGGACTTAGCTTGGCAAAACTTTTTAGGACCTTGGATGGAGTAGAAAGAGATTAGAAATCCACAGAACGGACAGCAAACTGCCTGGAAGCACATTTCCTGATTGCTGTTCCTCTCCCTGGGCATTTTCTCTGCTGTGTTACTCATAGCACACTCTTAGCAGAACTAGGAGCAAATCCATTCTTTCCTATGTCTCTGGGGAGTCTGTGGCTGACATTTCAGAGCTGAGTGCTTGGCGATTGTGGGAGGCCATTAACTGGTATCCATTTTATAATAGTATCAGTCATTTTCTTAAGTTTCTATTTCCCTGCTGAGTTAAGTTTCTGGTCCTTCCCGCCTTGCCCATTCCCTGTGAATCACGTGCTATGCCCCAGGTGTTGTACCTTCCCCCGTTGCCTAGATACCTGCTGACCCCAAGAGCCGAGACTTCCTCATTCCTACACTCCCTATATACCCAGCACCTCCCCTGAACAAATTGAGACTTGATCAGAATCCTGTCTTAAAAAAAATAAAAAAAAAGAATCCTGTCTTGTCTCCATTTCTTGTGTCTCCTGTCCTTTGTCCCCTCTTCAATTCCCTGCTCCTCCCCCAGGTGACCTTCACTGACTGACCCGCTGGTTTGGGACAGGCAACAGCAGACATTAGAAGTTGTTGGACAGAGGCCTGCTTGAGAGAAAGAGAAAAGGACAGCCATCTCCTAATTCGAAGGAGTTACGGATCTTGAGGTCTCCAGAGTCCCCCAGAACTTTGATGCCTAACATTCAGAGGCTACTAGGATAAAACCTTATATTCCTTAGGAAGGTGTCAATAGACATTTTATTTGGAGGAATAGCCATGATATCCCCCAAAAGAACCAGAATACACATTCTGGCTAACCTCCCTGGTGTACATAACAATGGTGAAGGGAGGGGATGATAAAGGCGAGGATGTGGCTTTGACAGAGGCAGTGAGGGGACACTCAGGCCTGTCTTTCTGAGTGGATGGCTGGAATCAGTGGTAAAAGTAAGACTGCAATGGCTCCCACCCCTCCAGCCAAGTCTCCCAAGCCAGGAAAGGCCCAGCATCTGAGAACGGAGCAGGAAGTTCTGCCAGTGGCCATATGGCGATCCTGATTGTCCATTTTCTCCTCTGTCTAGTACTATGATTCTGAGCTTCAGTTGCAGAATGGCCTAATACTCTGACAAACTTTAGAGTTGTCTTGAAAGTCTTACAAACCTGAAGGGATGATTTTTCAAAAAGCTACCCAGAGTATTAGATGTATAGTATTCTCTCTTATGATGAGGGGAGAAGACATACACATAAATACCACAAATTCACAGGTATATATACTTGTATATGCACAGATTGTCTCTGAGGGAGACAGAAGGAACTGGCTACAGAAGATGCTGCTAGGGAATGAAAGTGAGGGCCTGTGAGTTTAGGATGAGAGGGAATTTAAATTTTTTCTTCCCCTTTTGCAGTATTAGGAACTGAACTCCATTCCCAGCTTGGGAGATTTAATTCTTTCTCTTTCTTTCTTTCTTTCTTTCTTTCTTTCTTTCTTTCTTTCTTTCTTTCTCTCTCTCTCTCTCTCTCTCTCTCTCTCTCTCTCTCTCTCTCTCTTTTATTTTTTAGAGAAGAGTCTACAGGGTATCTAGGGTCTCACTACTAGATCAGACTCATAGTAATCTGCCTGTTTACAGCCACCCAACAGCTGGGATTACAGGTGTGCGCCACCACACCTAGTCTCAATTACTGTCTCAGAGAGGCCAGGGGGTGGAGTCAGCACAGCAGGCCCAGGGATCAAACCCTGGACCCTGTGCCTGCTTGTAGGCACTTTTATCCGCTGAGCTATTTGGCTGGCCCTGGGAGATTTAATTTTCATTACATGTACTTTTGTTCTGTTTGAGCTGCTTTTCCATAATCATGGACCTAATTTTCTATTACAAAAATTAAGAAATAGGGGTGTAGCTCAGATAGAGTGGTTGTCTGGCACACATGAAGCCTTGGATTGCCTCACTAACACTGCAATCAATCAATCAATCAAATTTAATTAAACACAACAGTGCTGGTGAGAACACAAAGCAAGAGGAAATTTCATTCACTGGTGATGGGAGTAGAACATGTCACAGATGCTTGGAAAATGGTTTGGCAGCTTCTTACAAAATTAAACATACCCATCAGAATTACGGCTGACTTCTCTTCACAAACCCTGAAGGCAAGAAGAGCATGGAGCAGAGTACTTCAAGTCCTCTATGAAAACAAATTCCAACACAGACTACTATATCCTGCAAAACTCTGTTTCAAGTTTGATGGAGAAGTGAAATACTTTCATGACAAAGAACAACTAAAGAATTTCATGATGGCAAAGCCAACCCTACACAGACTACTATTCTAGAGGGGGACCAAAATGATCAGAACTCCACCAACAAGAACAGAAGGAACCCACTAAGTAGGACAAACAATCAAACACAGGAGAAAAAAAGAGTTAAAAAACCAGCATTTAAATAATATGTCAATTGTAAGTCAACACATCTCAGTTATAACTATCAATGTAAATGGACTCAATTCACCAATTAAGAGAAATAGACTGGCACAGTGGATTAGGAAACAAAACCCAACAATATGTTGTATACAAGAAACA